CTTCGTCAGTCGATCGACGGCGACCAAGATCGCGTCGTTCCCACTCGCCCCGGCCGGTAACCCCGTGACGAAGTCCATCGTCACCTGCTGCCAAGCACGCTCTGGGGGTGGGATCGGCTGCAACTGTCCTGCCGGCCGCTTCCGTGATGATTTCATGACCTGGCAGGTGGGACACGATGCTACGTGTCGTTGGATGTCGGTCAACATTTCTGGCCAGTAATAATATCGCTGCAGCTGCTGTCGTGTTTTTTCTACCCCGAAATGTCCTGAGGTAACTCCGTCGTGTGCCTCTTGTAACAGTAATTCCCGTAGTAGTGTATACCCGGGTACCCAAATGCGGTCGGTCCCAACCTTTACGTAATAGATCCCTCGTGCTGCTGCGAACTGCTGCGAGTTGCCTCCTGTAAAGAACGGGTCGGTTTGGTATCCGTGGGTAAATAGGCCTGTCAGCAGTGGGCTGGTCTGGGCGAGTAGTATCGCGTGAATCTGGGCAGTAGGGCGAGTCAGTGCATCGGCGATATTTGATGCTCCTTTTTTGTAGGTGACCGTGTAGTGAAAATTCGACTCGAGGAAATCGAGCCATCGAATCTGTCGTGGGTTGAGGTGAGGCTGTGCGCGGAGGTACTGTAGAGATTTGTGGTCTGTCCGTACTGTCACGTCTGCGCCGGTCAAGTAACAGCGCCACACTTTGAACGCATGCACGATCGCAAGCATTTCGCGATCGTGTATCGGGTAATTCTTCTCAGGTGGGTGCAGTTTTCGTGATTCGTATGCGATGGGCTGTAGGCCGTTCCCGAAATCCTGTAACAGTACGGCTCCGATGGCGATGTCGCTTGCGTCAGTAATGACTTCGAATGGGCGGTGTGGGTCGGCAATGCGCAGGACAGGTGGTGAACAGAGAACAGTTTTCAGGGTAGAGAAGGCAGCATGCTCTTTCTCCCCCCACGTAAAAGCGACCCCTTTCCGCAGCAGATCCGTCAGTGGGGCAGTTAAGCGGGCCATGTCAGGCACGAATCGACGGACATAATTAACGAAACCCAAAAAACTCTGCAGCTCCGTGATGTTTGTCGGGGGTCGCCAAGCGTTGACCGTATCCAGCTTCTTCGGGTCAATCTCAACCCCAGCCTCTGAAATAACGTGCCCCAAAAATTCTAACCTATCCCGAAAAAACTCGCACTTAGACCCCTTAGTCAATAAACGATGCTCCTCGAGAATTTTAAACACTGCTTCCAGGTCCGCTAAATGCTGCTGCTTATCGCGACTGTAGACGAGAATGTCGTCGAGATAGACGATCACGCACTTATCTAAAAGTGGTCTAAACGCCTCGTTCATGGTCATCTGGAATGTTGCGGGTGCGTTGGTTAGCCCGAAAGGCATCACGGTGTACTCGAACGACCCGTACCTAGTTCTAAAAGCTGTCTTGGCGCAGTCCGATGGTTCGACTCTAATTTGGTGGTAACCTCCCCGTAGATCTATTTTCGAGAACACCCGTGCTGTTCGCAGTTGGTCGATCAGTTCGTCGGCGCGGGGAATGGGGTATCATGACTTTATTGTAACCCTGTTGAGCGCTCGGTAATCGATGCACATGCGAAAACCTCCGTCTTTTTTTGGTGTGAATAGTATCGGTGCGGCGAACGGCGACGAGCTCGGTCGGATAAACTGCTTTGCTAACAGGTAATCTAACTGCTTCCTCAGTTCGTCTAGCTCCGGCTGTGTCAGTCTGAACTGGCGCTGTACAGTTGGCTGTGCCCCCGGCTCTAACTCTATCCTATGGTCGTGCGCCCGCTGAGGTGGCAGTCCTTCCGGTAAGTCGTCGGGGAAAATTCCCGGGTACCGTTTCAATAGCTCTTCTAGCTCCGGCGGTACCGCTGTCAGCAATTTCTGGAAATCACTCGGCTGCTCATCTTTTGCTACCACTGCGATGTCTACTGCATACACGTCAGCTCCAGCGGCGACTGCTCGTTTCATTGTGATGGCGTTGACGTGGACCGTCGATGACTCAGGCGACTGCCAGCGTGGTAGTTCGACCCAGTTACCACTACTTCGCACAGTGCAGCTGCCCGTCGTCCAGTCGATTCTCGGATTGTATCGTCGCAACCAATCACGTCCCAATAAAATGTCGTGCCCATCCAGTGTCGTCGCGAGCATTTCCTGTGTAAACCCGAAGTTTCCCCCGCAGCGAACTTTTACTCTCTCCACCCTCTTCCGTATGGCCAGCGGCGTGCCGTCGACTAAGCGCGCATCAATCTCAGGTAAACATCGGCTAAGTGTCAGTTGAAGTTTTCGTGCGGTTGCGGTATTAACTAAACTGTGGCTAGCTCCTCCGTCGATGAAAATCTTGACTGCTGCTCCCTGTATTTTCCCGTGGATCAGTACTGGGCAATCCGTCGCTGTACCCTCCTTATTCATCCGAGCCCGATCGATGGCGTGAATCGGTACTGTGACTCGGTGAGGGTCGGTGTGGTTGGGCGAGCAGGCAGTCTCGTCAGTAGTTGGCCCAATTTCTACTGACTGCTGGCGTTTCCCTGCCTCTGAGACTCCCTCCCCTGCTCTGCTCCTCGACGCCTCAGCTCTTCTGGACATTCGCTCTTGCGATGGCCCGGCCGGTTGCAAGCAAAGCAGCGCCCTCTAAATGGCGTGGCAGCTGCATTCGTTGCGACGGCATGTACAGTGGCGTGCTCGATCAGTCCCCGAGGACGATGTCCGAAATAGGACCCCGGTCTCGGTCGGCGTAGGATATCAATTTTCTCGGCGAGCGCGAGGATTTCGTTGAAATTCGATAGCCCGCGTAGCATTATCTCGTGCGATATGTCCGGCTTCAGTCCGCCGACGTAACGGTCCACCCGCTCCGCCTCGTGCATGTAGCCGACCTGTTCGCAAAGTGCGAGAAAACCGCTGGTGTAGTCTTGGACCGACCCGAGCTGGCGCCAAGTGCGCAGTTTCTGACGCGCCGAAATAGAAGCCGCGATCGGCTCAAAACGCGCCCGAAGCCCTGCGCACCACGCATCCCACGTGCTATATTGGGCTGTTTCGCAGAACGAACTCCAGGTGACAGCTGGACCCGAGGGCCCTTCCTCGTGCGGCGGTGGCTCGTAGGCACGTGGCGATGTCACGATGACTCGCCACCAGTCCATGGCGGGGCCCCTGAGTAGTGAAACTGCATACCGAATCTTGGCGGCGTCCGACTCGACGTAGTTGGCGTCGAAAAACACGTTCATCGTGAAGACCCACGATTGAACTGTCGGGCCACCGCGTTGGCTTGGGTCGAAGCAGGGCGGGCGTTGCGGCTTGAGTGGCATTGGGGCCATCGTGGCGTTCCCTCCACTTGTCATCGCAAACTCCACGTGCCGACGGGCTTCTCGGGGCTCCCGTGGGCTTGATGCATTCCTGTTCCCTCCCATGCCGGGCATCGGTTGGGCTGCGCCGTCACTGGCTGCGCCTGAGCGCTGTCCCGTGCTGTTGTTTTGCGTTGGTGTGCCGGATGAGATAACAATCGGCTCCTCCGAATGGACAGAAACATTGGTTGGCGCTTGGGAAGTTGTCGGAGCGTTCACCGTTGACTGTTGACGGGCGGAGTCACGTTCCGCCGTGAGCGTCGCGATTTCGAGCGCTGATTCCTCCAGCTGTCGCACGAGACGATCGAGTTGCTCCTGCGTCAACGTGGCGATAGTGAAATCAGCCATGGCAGGGGTGTCGGGCAAGCTCAGCGAGAGCCTCAGTCGTGGCCGTGCGTGCTTCCGAGAGAGCACTACGAGCGGCGGTGCTGTATCGCTGAGAGACGTCTACCCCCCCCAAAAATTGAGATAGTGGGAAGCGAAGGTGTGGATGCGGTCCGAGATGAGATCGTAGGCTCTGAATACCAAGTGTTACGAGTGCAATTGAGTGAACGAACGAGAATTGCACTATCGAAGCAGGAGTACAAAATGAGCGAAGGCATGAGCGAAGGATTATATAGCGAAGCAATAGTGGTAACGGTAATGGACTGTGGTTGTCGCGCGACGAGCCTGGGACTGAGGTTGGGAAAGTGTCGAAGCGTAGGCCCGGAGCGCGGGTTACCAGCCGAGCCGTGAGGTCGGGATGCGATGTGCGAAAAGGGCGGGATGATGAATGATGCGATGGTCGCGAGTGGTAACGGTGCTGACTGAGGTGCTACAGTGATGTACGCGTTGAGCAGGGACGCGAAGTAAGGAAAAGGGAATTTCCTTACAGTTTGGCTTGAACTCTTTTGAGCCACACTTCCATCTTGCCGACTCACCCTTTATCTGGTACAATTTCACGTGGATTTCCTGAGCGACCAGTTGTTCCGGTTACCCTTCTCGCGGAAGCTCGCATGGGGGGCTGGGGTTGCTGTTTCTGGAATTCCGCCATACACATGATGCCCAACCACTGCGCGCGAATTTGCCTTGCGCATTTAAGAAACTCTGCACCCGTGCTTTTTTTCCCACTCAGCTGCACCCAGGTTATAGGCACGCGGATCAACTTGCATTTGGGCGAGAAAACGTCAAAGTATGAATCTTAGGCGCAAAACAAACCATGCTGACCCGGTAGGTTCTTGTTTCTTGGCCAGAAACAAGCATAAACCCAAAACCCTGAACTGACAACAACACAGGCCCACCAGCACTGTTTTGGAAAAAACAAATGAGTTACAACCTGTGTTTTTTAGAAGCACCTCAACATCCTGGCGAAATGGAACGAAATAGGCGAAACGCCTAAAACGTTTATAAGCCCAGAGCACAACCCAAGTAGGGGGGACTCAAACGAGTACCATCAACTCCACCCTTCATTCTCGTTCTTCAGCTTTCGCTTTTGCTATTTTCCAGGTTTCCGCTGCATGCACTGATTAGCTGTGCATGTCGCCGCATCTCCCAGCGTCCCTAGCGCGAACGTCCTGGCTGTTCTAGGGCCGAGGCTCAATGGCTTCATATCCTATGCCTACCGGCGTAGGCTGTAAAGTGTGTGTTTTTTTTCCCGCGGTTCCTGATTCCACATAGTTTTCACCTATGGTGCGTCTGATTTCCGGCTGTCGTAGCGCGAGGTTGGTGTTGCGTGTAGAGTCGACATGAACTCACGCCAGCGAACCTACGAACTCCAGACCTCTCCCACCAAGGTCGGAATTTAGCGATTTCTTAACTTGTTTCGCGGTCGTTCTTCTTTCTCCAGTTTCTGTGTCATGCGCGGCATCGTCAATCGCCCAATTTTGCCCTTGACTTCCGTGATGCCTTTTTTCTCTCTCTCTCTCCTGGCCTCGAGTTGACCCGCAGGCGTTGAGCAGGATGGAGGTACCGGCCCTGCGCGCGTGTCTGAGGTGTCGCACGCTCATCATTCACCACGAGGGCTGCAAGTACGTCACATGCCAGTGCGGCGCCACCTTCTGCTTCGCTTGCTTGCAGCCGTGGGATGAGTGCAACACTGACCATAGCGGGCCCTGCGCTGCGCCAGTTGCACCCCGCCAGGGTTAATTTCTGCTCTGGGGTAAAACAAAGCGAGGTGAAGGCAAAAAAACTACCGCAGTAGGTTAGGACATTGTTTGTAGGTGTTGTTGAGGCTTGTGCAGTCTACAGGAGGTGCACGGTGTGCAGCAGTTTGCTTTGTGTAATTCATACACAATGCAGTCCTCAAAACGTTAAAAAATAATGTAATTACTCATAGATATATTTGAAAGTAGCTTCTGCATCATGCTAACAATTAAAATTTTGTTCTAGAAATGTCATTGCTAATTTCATTATTTTTTCAGACAGAAGGCCTTTACACCGAGTTGCTTGCGCTAGCGAGGTTGGGGGTGTAGGCCATTCTGGAAAACCATCTTCAGCGCGTACGATTTTTCAGGCTTGAAGTGTTTGCTTCAGCGCCACATTGGTTGGATTGTGTGCTTTCGCTTCATCCCAGGTATCACCAGGCCGTGGTTTGCCATTCACGCGCTCCAAGCCTTCCTTAGGAAACCATTTTTTTGACATGTCGATGTCGCCAATGGCTTCCACTCGAAGTGGTCGAGGCTCTCAGCCTCCAGATTATGCATCCTATTCCTAATTCTGGAAGCGTATTTTAACCCGCGAATGCCCTGTATTCTGTGATTAACTCGCTGTCATGGTGTTGTGTCTCAGCTGCATTTCCTTGCGGACGTCTCTTAGCGCCTGGTCTTGCAGGAAGAGAGCGTCAGCATGAATTCAAGGCAAAGAACATACGAGCTTCAGACTTCGCCCGCTAAGGTTGGGAGAACACATTACGTTTTATTTATCTCGAATTCACTCATTTCTCTTCCTTGTAATTTTTAGCGGTCTTTTGGCTCTTACAATAGCAACGGTACTGCTTCCTTTCCCTTGCTCGCAGGTGCTTAGCAGGATGGAGGTACCCGTTCTCCGTACGTGCGTGAGTTGTCGCACACTTATTATTCATCAGGAGGGCTGCAAGTCCATCACATGCACGTGTGGCTCCACCTTCTGCTTTACTTGCCTCAGACCGTTGGATGTGTGTGGCACTGACCATTGCGGACCTTGTAACGTGCCTGTTGCCCCACGACAGGGGTAGTTCCAGCTCTTAAGGTAAGTTGTGCCCTTCCCATCTCAAATGAAGTACTTGCATTCATGTGTTTGAATGTTCTAGCATCTCAATCAGCATCAGTCTAACTTTCTTCCTGACTACAGAGTCTTCGTTTGCCTTCGTTTATGCCAGCCATACTGTCCGTCATGTATGGTAATGTTGAAATTTAGGGCGACATCAGGTTGCACATTTCTAGCACATTCATATTACAGTTCCTGTATCGTTGCTTAGGACGGTTCCGCACGGTGAAAAGCGGTTTTCACTGTTTTTCACCGTGACGAAACCAAGTTGACCACAGTGAGCGTACAGATGTTGTGCAATCTGACGTAGCCCTTAGTGCAGATTGTTTCTGTACCGTTTGTCCAAATCTTTGCCCTCCTCCTCCATTGTGCACTTGTGTGCAGAACGAGGACTAGCAGCATAGTCAAGTATCGATCAAGAACATTCAAACGGAGCTAGACGATTGACAACATTGTGTCCGCTGGAGTAACAGGGGTTAGTTTTTTCTTTGTGGATTGCATGAAGCATTGTTGTGCAGAGTGCAAGCTTGATATTGTACAATGTCCTTCCAATGACGGAAACGTTCTATAGTGGGTACTGGTCACACAACAAGTTTCGTCCAAGTCCGATGTGCCAAGTGGATTCGTAGAGTTTGGCAGACGCTGATTGGGCAAACTACATTCATTTTACTATATAATTGGTCAGATAGACCCTAGGCTAATTACAACGTGGCTCAGATCTGTTACTCCGAATCCTGATTCGTCCAATTAGTTCTCCAGGCTTCGAAGTACGGAACAGTGAATTTCCCACCAGCTGCGAAGTTTTTTCACATGGGCCCTGTTCGGTAGCCCCCCCAGTCACACTGCGGTTGGTGCAGGTGCTCTTCCTCCGCCCAATTTTGACTCACCTTAAAGCCCACCGAACCGTTATTAGAACACCATACCTGCCCAGTGCAAGCTGGCTACCGAATGCGTGAAAAACCCAGCCCGAGTGAAGTTGAGGACGCTACCACGAAAATGCTTGCTCTGGCAAGCTCGACCGCCAGTGGAAGTCAACCCCATTTCTGCTTTCCAGTTCCACTCAGGCAGGCCCTCTCTGAGTGGCACGCTGTAGGGTAAACGCTGCATTAGTTTCGAATCGGGTCAAATTATGTTTTTCAGCTCGCTCGTTCAAACGACGAGAGATCGTGCCCGTTCGTGATTTTCTTTTATCCATAACGAGGGTGCTTCATTTGGCGGGCTGTTTTTTGTTTGTGATCTGGGCAGCCTCGTACAGAAGTAAAAGTTTCGACCAGTAATTTCTCTAGAAACACACGGTAACTTCTTGCGTTTGTAGACGAGACTTCCTTTCAGTGTTAGTGGACGCCCGAGGCTACGAAACATGTCGTAGGCTTCCCCAGTTCGAGTGGGCCCAGTGTAAATGGAAGGCTACCGAACAGGGCCGTGGAATACTCGTGCACCTGGCACTGTGAGGAGGATCTCCGGCGCCGGAAGGAATCGCGTGAAACTGTCAACCACCACAACACGAGGCACCTGGGCTTGTGCCGCAGCGTGCTGACGTCAATCCTTCGTGGAGTGTGCCTCACATCAACGTCAACTGCACGGGTTTCCCGCCAACTTAGGTTAGGCGTGATGCAGTCACAGCCGCATGCGCAGCACTCCGTTCAAGTGGCCCCGTGCCCCGCATCTCTTACCATGCATCTTCGCAAATTTCCACGTGGCAGTGGTCTGAGGTTGGGGTGGTTACCGTCTGTCACGCCGCGGTCTGTCGCGCACTTCCAGAACCAGCGGAAACGGACGGAATCCGTCCCGTCGCTGTGCGGCGTCCAAATCAACTGGGCCAGCCCATTGGCTTCAAACCAGCCCCCGTTCCTGACGACCCGACTCGACGCCAGATTCTTCCCCCTCCCGCCCCCCGTTCCCTCCTCCCTCTGTCCGTCAACGACGTCTTGACGGAGCTCCCATTTCCCGCTTCTCTTCCCCCTCGCCTGACTCTCTTCCTCCAGTCAACTTCCCAGCCATCTTTCCCTCAGCGCTATGTGCCCCTGCACCGCGAGCCAGAAACCCTAGCAGCCTGTTGGTGTTTCCGTAAAGCCTAGAGCCAAGTGAATCGCCCTATCTTTTCATCCCAGCTCAGGCCAGTTCACTCAAGCAGATACAAAGGCCTGGTTCTCACTTGGTCCATTATTGACCCGTGCTTCCTTGTTCGTTGGAAGATTATTCTGGAGGGCAAGTTCCCGTTAGTGCTGAGAGTTATCAGCGGGATTTTGCCGACTGTTTTAGCTATTTCCTTACACGCTGTGACATTGTTGAGAGGTTAGAGAGCGCTATGGTTACGTCTCTCGCCTTCTATTCCAGCTCCTCACCAGGGGCCGTTCTGTCGTCGTCTTCTAAATCTTTCTCGCCTTCTCCTACGGTGTCCGACGCTGATGCGACCAGCGCCTTAGACAACCAGAACCACCGTAAAGGCTCTCGAGGTGGTCTGTCGTCTCTCCTCACCTCGACGAGTCCCAGACATGGCTCTTATGGGTCTTTGCCAAGCTCTGAATTCACGGGAACTATGGGATCTGGCGCTTTTGGCGGCCAGGAAGGATGTTATTTCGGCAACAGTGTAAATAACGCTAGTTCTTTATCTGACGGTGGTCGGTTTCTTTCTACGGCAGTTAACATTCCGTCTAACAGTTCTAAGCTTAAGCCTCGTCGCTCCAGCCTGTCCGTCAGCACGACGACAACGACCAGAAGCGGCTTCAACACCTCCCTCGCGTCGTCCTTAACATGCAGAAGCGAGCCGCGTCTCTCATCGTCCATTGACGTCAGCAGCAGCACTCGGACACGTCGATTCGCGCCGTTGACAGCACCCGCGCCTGCAGATTCGAAGCCGATTCAGCGCAGCGTCGGCTTTACCGTCAAGGCCTCCGCGTCTGGCGCTTGCGTCGCCCCTGCGCCCTCGTCCGACACCCAAGTCGCCCCGCGTTTCGTGCCGCTAGGACCGGACGGCAAGCCTGGTCTAGCGTCCATCCAAGATCTCGTAGAGGAGGTGACGTCAGCGTCGTCAGCTGCTCAGTCGACACACTGGCCGGGTCTGGTTACGTCGCTTTCGGGTTCAGGTCCGGGGGTATGGCGCGTAGGGACGGATTCAGGCGCCGAGCTTGTGAACACAACGTTGCTAAGCATGCCAAAGTTGACCGCTCTCCCCAATGGCGGCGTCAGGATGCATGATACCGCGGCTTTCCGCCAAGTGCGGTCTGCCATTGAGATTGGCCGAGATCCGGATGCTCTGTTGTCGGACGACGATTGGTTGAGATACGCGCAGAAGAAGCATTCGGTATTCTACGACCCGCTGGTCAAGCTGGCGTTCCAAGTGGCTGCTGACGCTCACCAAGGCCAGGTAGGTCGTGTAACGATGAACGGCGTTGTTGTCTCCTGCTTTCCTTGCTATAGAGCTGGGATTCTTCTCTTCTCTGGTCGTATTGCGACCAAATAAGGGTTGATTGCGTACTAACGTGTCGTGCCCCATAAATTCTTTTGTTTCCTAATCCTTCATTCTTTTCACTTGATCCTCGTTATTGGCAGTTTCGCAAGAGCGGCCAGCCAGTTGTCTCTCACTGCGTGGAGACGGCGCTCATCCTCGCCGGCATCGGCGCCGACAAAGTCGTCGTCGCCGCGGGTCTGCTGCACGACGTCATCGACGACACTGCGACGTCGGAGCAGGACCTGCGCGACATCTTCGGCGACGAGATCGCGTCGCTCGTCGCCGGCGTCAGCAAGCTGAGCCTCGTCTCGCAGCTCACGCGCGACAGCTCACGACAGCTCACCTCCTGCGAAATCGACAACCTTCGCACGATGTTCGTCGCGATGGCGGACGTTCGCGTGGTCCTTGTGAAGCTCGCGGACCGCATGCACTGCCTGCGCACCATCGACGC